AGTTATATGGTGATTGATTTCTTGTATAATTTGTATTGTTCGGGAGTGGTTTTCCTGAACTGTTGTTGCTGTAAACTGTTTTGTTCGGTAGATTTTGATCTTTTTTCATGTATTGATAGAATGATTTATTTGGTTCTTTATATTTTTGAGGTTTATTTTGATTGTCTTGCTGTTTTTGTCTACATTCGGAAATACTATGTCCGTATCGTCGGCAATAATTACACCATTTTTTGAAAGATGGTTTGCCTTTAAAGTTTGGGTTCTTTTCGTAAATATTGAGTATTTCAGTGATTTTTTCAACGAGGTCTGTCTCTGATTCCTGTATATTATTAATATTAGTGGGAGTCGTTTCAATTCTGTTAACGTATTGTAATTTCAGATTTTCCGTTTCTTCTAGTTTCATCGTGATTTCTGCTTGTTCTAATTTGTCTACTAGTTTTCGAAAATCTAAATCGGGTTCGCGAATTGAAGAAGGATGGGATGCTCTCTTTTTTATTGCTATTTTCCTTAATTGTGGTGTTAAGGTCATCATTAAGATTTCTGTCATCTTTGTGTTTTTATAGTCATGTGTATTTAATGAATATGCTTTTCGAACTAGTGTTTCGATTCGTACTGCTATTTGCTTGATGGTTTCGTTTGGTAATCTGCGAATTTCATTACATAAAACTCTTTGTTGTTGTTTGTTTCTTTCGGAGTCAAACATTTTTGAAAATTCCTGTGTAAACCTTTTCCAGTTTGATTTTATTTCTAGAGGTAGTACTGAAAACCATTTTTGGGCTGCGCCATCTAAGGTTGTTTGTATTAACGCTGTGCGTCGATGTATCCAATTTTGATGTAGTGGCGTATTAATTGGTTCAGGTCCAATATTTAAAATCAGGTTTGCTGTTACTGCATTTAAATAATCTTCTACAGAATATTCAGGGTCTGTTCCTGTGAAAACCACTAAAGGTTTGTTTGATGTTATTGATGATCCACCCATAAGGTATGGATTCATTGTCATTTGTAATGATTCTGCTGCATTTGGCATTTGAGAAAAATTTGAAAGTTGGTTTCTTGTTATTTCATGTTGTTGGAGATAATATGGGAGTGGTATTTCATTTTGCATTTGTGATGCTTGATACGAGTGTGCAGTCATTGGATTTTGTTGTTGAATTGGTTGAAAAGATTGTGTATTAATTAGATTTTGTTGTTGAATTGGTTGTTGATGTTGTGCATCTATTGGTTGTGGAGAAAAATTTCTATGATTTGTACGTGTTTTCTGTATTCCTTGTCTACGATATTCTTGAGTATTTGGTGCAAATATATCTGGTTGTAAGAAATCATCATCTGAGGATAAATAATCCATTTGATAAGATGTCTGTTTTTTATTTTTATTTTGTTGAAAAAATGGGTAATTTTCACTGTGATCCTGTGGAGGATTTGTTTGGAAATTTATTGAATTAGGTTGGGTCATTGGGTTATCCCAATTTCGAGATCTTGTATATTGGTTAAAATTTCTTTGTGGTTGATTATATGTTTTTGATGGATGTGTATAATTATAATTATGGTCTGTAAAGTTGTTTCTAGTGAATGTTTTGCGTGTTTTTGATGGTATTGTCATGGGTCTGTATGTTTGGTAATCCATATGTGAATATTTAGGGGCAACCGAAGGTTTAACGGTTGATTGTAAGGTTACCTGTGTTTGTGAAGGATTTGTATTTCTTGGTGTTGTTAAATTTGGGCGTATTGGTGAAATACTTTGTTGTGTAGTTGTTGTGTGTACAATTTCTTCATTTATGAAGTGTGATGGTGTCTGGATATCTTGTTGAGTAAGATTCCTAGTTCCATTGAGGTTTTCATTGTGTATAACTGTAGAGTTTAAACTATTATTTTGTGTATCGGGTAAAAATGTATTATAGTTTAATGGTGTTGCATCAATGGTTAATGGTATTACTTTTACATAATCTCTTATGTAAGATATCGTACTTATTGCTTGACTTGAGATTGTTTGTGGGAAGCTTATAAATGCGGGATGAGACCATTCGGGGTCCCAAACATAATCTGATTGTTCTGTGATAGCGGTATCATCGTTCGAGTTTTGGGGTCTAAAATTTTTTCTTGCTTGTGCAATTAAATCAATATTGTGTGTGAAATAATCTATTATGAACCATGCCAAAATTTTTTGTAGATCGTGTTTTGTATGTTGTGAAACGTCGTCTTTCGTGAAATTTTCTTTAATGATGTTTAAATAACTAGAGAGTAGTGTGATTTCATGTCGTACTCTTAAATGTTTAGATGTATCTGTCGGTGAGACATTTGTTATTGGGATTTCGTTTTCTAATATCGAAATATAACTATATATTATTGCGAAAACTTCATTGGTGAATATGGAGTTTGCTCTTTGTGAGTTATGATATTGGATGCTTTTTATATATTCTGAAAAAACTTTTGAAAATTCTAAATCAAGATCGTCTGTTTGAATTGTATATTTTCTATTATTATGGTTTGGTGAGGTGAATTCTATGGAGTAGATTCCATACTGTTGTGTTATGTTGCATATATCTTTTAAGTAGTGGTCTATGATTTGTCTTTTGATTTTTACATCTGGGAACTCTGTTTTACATGGACTGATTCCGGGTTCAAATAAATTTAATAGTAAATTTTTGCAAAATATATGCTGTCCTCTATCGGTGGTTGCATCTACTATAAAAGGAAAGATTTCATCATCATCTGGACTTTCTTCACCTGGAGTGTGCGTTGAGCTCATTTTTTCGTTCGATGACTGTTAATATGTAATTATTAATGTGTCGAATTGGTTGATTCCAATTGTATAAATGTACTGGTTTGTGTTTATACTGCTTTTTTATTCTTCTTTTTCCTCTTTTTGATGAATTTGAAGTTGTTTCTGAGTCAGAAAAATATAATTGATCGTGAAGTGGGTAATTTTTATCTATTGATTCTTTTAGTTTGTAAAGTTCGTCTAAACTGTTGGTTTCTGATTCTGAAAATGCGTTTCGATTTTTTGAAAATCTTTTTCGTGTTATTTGTCTTTGTTTCGTTATTATTTTTCTTTTTAGTGTTTGTCGTTTTGTTCGAATGTATCCAACTGTTTGTGTATGAGGTGTGATTACAAGGTCGTATTTTTTGTTATCTATTTCACAATTGTGTAAAACGATTGTTTGTTTATTTCCTAGGTTTTTAAATGACATAAGGTTTAGGATGACGGATGCAAAAGGTTGTTAAATGATTTCTATTTTCTTAAACTGTTAGTTCTTACGATTTTTTGGTTAGCTTAACCTGGGTCTATTTGTTCAGGGTTGGAGAGAAAAGTATATCGATTCCGAAGAATGATTTTTTACTTTCTCGTGGCTAGTATAAGTTAAGGTGTTAACTTACTTAATCTTACTTAGGGGTAGTGATTGTGTTCAAGGGTTGGAGAATAGTAAATCGATCCACAAGGTTCAGGTATAATTAGAACGCGAGTAGTTCGTTAGATACTATTTTAAACTTACTAAGTCTAAGATTTATCCTGGGTCTGGTAAGAGGGGGGGTCAAGTGAAGGATGAATAACCGAAGTTCTTCACTGTTTATCCTAATTTGAATGATTAGTTTTGTTTGAAAATTTCTATTAGTCTTGGGTCTTTAGAAAGGGTTGGGTAGTGAATCGACGTTTGAGGTCGTTAGACACTAATTAAGTGGGTGGGGGAGAACAAAGTTGTTCTGTTTGATCCAAGGATAAGCCTTGATGATCAAATTTGAAATTTAATTAAGTAGAAAATGATTTAAGATCCAAGGATAAGCCTTGATGATCTGGTTTTAAAATTAAGTGAATTTAAGTTTTAATAAAATTTTAAATGTGTGTAAAGGAAAGATTTAGTGTTTTGATGATATTAGTGGGTTTATGATTGCTGTTATGTTTTAGATGATGGAGCTGGAACAACAGGATGATTTATGATTACTAACCATTTATTGTCATGCTACTAATTTTTATTTTTTATTTTTCAATAAATATTTTTCAAACATGTTTTGTATATTACTGCAGAGTTTTAGGAAAACGATCTTAGATCTTTTTATCAATCGTTATTGTATATTAATAATTTTGTTTAGCGCCTGAAATGATTTTGAAGATTAACTTCAAGGTTTTATGTTTGCAAATGAAAATCTAAATTCATTGCCAGTAGTATTCTAAATATAAAAGTTTGTTCTGGTTTTTGCCTAACTATCATATAGCTATATGGCAAGTTTCTACTTTGTCGTATGTCGTCTCTGGTTCGAGGTCTTCTTCCAATTCCGGGTAGTTCTGTTATGGTTCGGAATATTGGCTCTGATCTATTGAGTCGTAGAGACATTTCGATTAAATTATTGTCGTATAACATTTTGTAAATGTTTTTGTCTAATTTCTAATCTATTTTGGTTAATTCTAAGCTATTAAGGTCTTGTTCGAGACTTATGGTCGCACCAGATGAGTTAGGACCGAGTTGGTTAACTCATAGAGTAATTTCGGATAGGGTACACCGTCTGCTCGTCACGCTATCTTATTTTCGGCCGGATAGATTCGTGCAACTTCTTAGTCTAATACCGATCCTAATCTTACTCTTATACTATCTAGTCTCAGGTTGTTTAACTAGTCTCTGCTAGGCTCAATAGATCTAGGGTATACTGGTTTATTGCGGCTGCTGAAGTGCTCGGGAGAGTCCAACTAATTTCTAAGTTAAATTCAAATCTCTCTGGTGCTGAAATTACAAGTAACTTCAGCACTTACAAATAAGTGGGTTGTTAGTTAGATGGATCATGATTGGTTAATATTAAATACTTTACATTGGTAAAATATCTAAATTATCCAATCATAAAATGTAGTTTAGATCAGGTTCCAGTTTTGTCCGAATAATTTAAATCAGCACTGTACACTTTTAAACACTTATTTTTACTAAATCAATGCTATAAAATGAAAATGGCGAAAAACTGTTTGAATTCATCTGCCATGAATGAAATAATGTACTAGTATTTCGTTTTTCAGATTAGCCTCAATGTCTCAAACTTCGATCGATTTGCAGAGTGAGGTGAATTTAGCAGTTGATCTTCTACACAAACTGAAGCACAATAACGAACTCAATCCGGCTAAGGCAGATGCGCTAATTTCTGTTCTAGAGAGTCCCTTTTTCAATGCAGTCAGAGAAGTTTATGAGCACGTTTACCAGACAGTTGAAGTGCAGGTAAATGATTGTTTGCTCATTAGACTAAGTTGACATGCTCTCCGCTTGAAGGTCCATAGGTCTGGGTTCGAAGTCCCAGCCGGTCCTTGTTTTTTTTCGAAAGATATGTTTGAAAGTCGGCCGATTAGTATGCGAGTCATTTCTTGTAGTAGTTTGATTCTGATATTGTTTTGAAATGATTTTTTTTCTTCAACCAGTGTATGGATCGGTTTTAAGAGTAGTACGTTTCATTTTGCTGCACCGGATGTGAACAGAAATTTTACATGAAAAAATTCGCAGATGGGAAAAAGGAGCCTTTTTTTATCATACACCGGTTCCAAATATTTATGATCAGTATGTTCTGACAACACCCGGAGTGTTTTCTCTTAGCATGAGGGTAGAAAAAGTTACGAACTAACTAACTGAAAATAAACCGATTAAATTAACCAGCCGGCACTCACAGCATATATTTTAAGTTGGTGTCTGCGGATTTCCGGTTTATGTAACATGTTAAAATTATGTACATTGTTACATAATTATCATATTACTACCTGCTGCACCTCACGTGAAGCTGAAATGCCAAAAAACTCCAAAATTTAACAAAGCTGAAAAAACGAAGTTTTTTTGTGTACAGTGCTTTGTATCTTCAGGGCAACGAGGAAATCCGGGCAAATGCCACAGCTAAAGCGACAGTGGCCGCCTTTGCAGCCAGTGAGGGCCATGCCCACCCGAGAGTGGTGCAGCTGCCAGTGACAGAAGAGGGATTTGGATTCAACATCATGGGCGGCAAGGAGCAGAACTCTCCTATATACATCAGCAGGAAAGCCTTAGTTTTGAATTTGGATAGTGGAGAGAGAAGTACAAGACATTTATATATGAATGTACAACTCAGGATCTATTTTTTTCGCGGGGGGTGGGGGGTTGGATTTTCTAAGTTTTTTCGAAAATTATGTCGACTTTTTTAGGTCGTCAAAATTTATTTTCCAAACGTTCATGGAGCACTGTAAAGACCCTATTTTGACTAAATTTTTTTGAGCCGCAGGAAGGGGGAAGAACCCTTTGGTTGGTTAGGGGGTTGAACCCATAAGGGGGGGGGGGGGCGTACGCCCCACCTCTAAATCCGCAACTGGGTTATATATTACATTAAATGGCAAAGGCAAGTTATGTAGCTGGATAGTTTTTTGCTATACTTCTAACAGTATTTATAATTTATTTCAAGAGCCAAATTTTTTGGTAAAAGAAATGTACATGTTGAATTTTTGAATAACATTTCATTCGCAGAGTAACGTATTTACAAAAACTGCATATACAATTGAATGAAAATGAAGTGGCTATATTATGCATTATAGTTGTCAAATTTGATGCATGCTCTTTACTCAAAAGTACAACCTATTGTAACATATCACAGTTAAATGTGATTTCTAGCAAAGGAGCAACCGTACAATTCCCCCCCCCCCCCAAATAGATTTAGGGGGAGAAAATATGGATCCCTAATATTGGTCCCTAGCAAAATATTGGTCCCTAGCAAATATTGGTCCCTAGCAAAAACCTTAGGATTTGAATAAGAAGTTGAAGTTGCAGGACCCCCTGATTATCTCAAATGCACCTGCTATGTAGAAACCCGTTTTTCGCCCGATGGAAAAAGAGGAAGATGGGACGTTTCACTTACTTACTTCACTTAAATTCGCCGCTAACATTAAAGTATGCAAAACGGAATGAAAATGCTTGAATCTGCTTGGCTGAATTTGAATATGTCTGCAAACCTTTCTTTTCACGATTCAATTTATACGTAATCCGCCATTAAATAAATTTGAGGTAATAATTGAAAAGACCCCAAAAGTTTGCAATATGGTTGTTTTTTTTCCTAATCAGCCCCCGGTCCAGCTCCTCCCATGCAGCCATAGGTCTGTTTCCCTTGGGGGAAGATGCCATCAATTTTCCGCAGCCGGTTCCACCTTGAGGACGCGAATGACGCTGGGACCCCTCTCGTGACCGAAGAGGGATTCGAACCCGCAACCTTTGATGATTTGAGGTAATAGCCGCGGGTGCTCGAAATGTTTGTAATTTTCTTCAAAATTTGCAGGATAATCCCGAATGGAGTGGCTGCCAGAGTTGGTGGATTGAGAAGAGGCGATCAGTTGCTAAGTGTTAATGGAGTTTCAGTGGAAGGAGAAAGTCACACAGCGGCTGTCCAATTGCTGAAAGACGCTTCAGGTGTGTGTAGTGTAAAATTAAAATTGTTGAACGGTGTAATTTTGTATCGAGCACGAAGTGGGTAAGGAACCTTGAACAAGGATGTTTTCTTTTCACGCAACTTGCTTTTCAAATGATTGTCAATTGATGAATAATATTAAAGCCGGTCAACTGGTTTGCAAGATCTTTAAAAGTTTCCCAAAATATCGTGAAGAACTGTTAAAAAATTTTAAGCGTCGATGAACGTAATCAAGACACTTATAGAAGAGCCTTAGCGTAATGTATTTTTTGATCGTTTCGAAAAATGATAGAAAAAGTCAATCTTTTTTTTTGGTTGACTTGGCTGTTTTTCACTTTAAAGGTTATTAGCCTTTTTTCGTTTCAGTCGCATCATTTTTTGTCATTTGAGGAGCTAAAAAAAGTTTCTTATGTTTGTTATTTTCTTGGGGGTGGGGGTGGGATATTGAGTGAAATCTTATGAAAATCATTTTTTAGGTCGGGATTATTTTTTTAAGGAAAAATCTTGATTTCTTGCTAAGTTCAGTTCATTTCCTTTGTTAAAAGGAAAGCAAACTCCACTAGCGAACAGCAAATGTAAAAGTCACGAAAAAAAGCTAAACAAAAATTATACTTAATCTCAAATTGGGTCATTTTTTTTAATCTAAAAAGGGTCAATCATAAATTGTTCGAAACCTTTTCTCTGTTTTTGACTGGCTTTGTTTCTTTTTTATGCTAATTGCAATGTTAAGAGTAATAAACGTAGTGGGTAGTCTTATATAGGTCTTGCTGATTTTTTTTTATTCAGGAAAATGTCTTCAAATTTGTTCACGCTGTTTTGATTTTTCGCGGTCTGACTTGTGATTTCTTTTTAAGTTAAGTGCATTTTCATTGTTAGGAGGAAGGCAAACTCCACTATCGACCAGCAATGGGGTAAAGGTCACGAAAAACGTGATCGACTTCTAAGTTAGAAAATGGAAATTAATTATCAGATTTCCCAGCGAAATAAATGTTTTACCTATTGATCCAGTTTTCGCAAATTGGGTTTATTTTAACATAAAGGTGTCCATCATAAACTGTTCTACAAATTTAAAGAGCTTCAAGGCCATCTATTTTTTTCTTCGAAATTCAAAAGTTGAAGATTTTTGAAAAAACAAGTCAGTTCTTTATTTCAGTTTCCCTGCGTTCATTACTCTTTTCCAACTTTCAGTTGGCTATGTTTTCTGTGATATGTCGTTTTGGTAAGTAAGAAAGCCGCATAAAATCATAAACCAAAAGAAGCAATAGTTATTAACAATTGGGTGGGCTAGTGTAACGTGCCAATTTCAACAATTCGAACCAAGCTGTTCACAGAGGAAATCCGCCTACACCGTTCGTTTTCTACAGCAAGTGTCTTGTTCATAATTTCATTTAACATTTAAAACTTTAGTTTGAACGTCAACGAAATGTCAGTAATGAAAAAAAAATTCAGTCTGTGGTAACCAGGTGTTTTGCTATCAAATTTTTGTGCTGCATTTTCAAATTTTTTCGTGTTTCAGGAGTTGTAAAGTTGATAGTGCGATACACTCCTCGAGTGCTGGAAGACATGGAGGCTAGATTTGAGAAACAGAGACAGAGGGCGGCACATCAGCAGACACTTCAACAGCAGCAGCAGGGATCGCTCGGAAGAAACTCCATGCCCAGGAATAAGGGACGATAGAAAAATAACGTTTTTTTTTTTAAAAAAAGGAAATTCTGAAGAAATATAGCGTGAAACTCGTCGGATCTTATGAAGGTGAAAAATCGAACAGGAGAAACAAACCGTGGATCTTCACCTTCACCTATTCCTTTTTTTCGATTCTTTTTTGATAGTTAAACGAAAATGCAGTGATTAATCTTGGATACTTTGAATCATGTAAAATAATCGGGAGGGGGCGATAAAGTGTTTGTTGTCCTTGACTTTCTTCAATTTCATTTATGCGCATGTGTTCTGCGTTTTTCTTTTTAGAAAATGATGATTTATTGGTTGAGAATCAAAATAATTACAAATGTTCGGCGTTATAGAATTTAGAGTTACGTTACATATGTTAATTTATGCGCGACATACCAAGCGATCCAAAAAACTTAACATACATGACTATCCAAGAAAACTAAATTTGCGAAACAGTTTAGGAAAATTGGGGTCAAAAAAATCTGAAGGAATATTTGGACCTCGAAATGACGTTGGTCAGTATGAACACAAAAAGCATAAATTAGCATTTTTGTTCAAAATTTTTATCGCCTAATGCATCAAATTCAAAATTTTAATTTTTCTTTATTGTGTAAATCTGATTTTAAGTTTGTACTCGTCTTCGATTTATATATACGTATGCATCTACCTCTTGGTGTTTTTCAATTTTGATCGGGAAATATTATTGCCAAGTTGAAAACAACTGCAATTGATTCTGTTGATGAAAGGATGTTCAACGTACTCTTTTATTTTATATAACTGCTTATTATAAAAAAGGTTGAACGATTGCTTTAGTCGTTAAGATCCGAATTTTCAGCAGAAAAATCCATGTTTATTCGCTAAGTTTTATTTCATTTTTTGCAAAATATATTCAAAATATTAATTGCATTTTGTACAATTAAATTTTATTTTCGTCATTTTGGAAAGTCTTTCTCTAAAAGCTGGAAAAAAATATATTTGAAGTTATGATGTAATTTTTCCTATTTGGTTTCAGATTTAATTTTGACAGCTTTTATTTCAATCTACTGCAGGAAGAATTGTGACCTGGATTTTGGCCGAAGATTTGAAGCTGTCAAAGATTTGATGATTTGAACACTCAGTTCAAACTCGTCTAATTCGGCCTTTTGTCCACTGAGCAGTATATCAATTGAGTCTCATTAGATATTGCAGAGTTACTGTGCGTTAGTCTGCGCAGTTTCCACCGCTAGTTTAGCCGATAGAGACAATGGCCGACGCAGCTCCAATGGAGAATCATCATCCGCCTGGAACTCCAATTGTGACCCCGGCAACACCCGCAGGGCCTGAAGCCACGCATGAAAACGAGAATAACAATGCAGCTGTTGACCCTGAAAATGAACAAGTTCAAGAATTAGAATCAGAGTTGTCAAAGTTGAAAGTGAGTTTGACTGAAGGATTTCCTTTATTAATTTGGAATCGGGAACTAGATTTTTTTCCGTAAACAACTTTTCGTACAAATCTTACTTGCTTTTCTAACTTGCTATATTATTGAATCATGATAAATTCTAGGTTCGTTCTCACTTGACTAGAGGCAGGTACGGATCTAGGATTTTCTCGAGGGGGAAGGGTTTGGCGGAAATTTTATCGAACTTTTTTTAGGTTGAACAACTTTCCAAGTACTCCCAGAACACTAAAGATTGTCACCAAAAATTTTGCGTGGCTGTCAAATTTGAAAAAAAAAAACAGGTAAAAAAGCCACTTTGGAAAGTTTCAATAAAGAAAATTGCATTTTTGGCTTGCGCCCTTCTTCAAAATTAGTATATCAACAAGATGTTTTGGTGGGAACGTCAGTCAGCTCCACCCCTGCTCGAGGTTCTGTGAGTAAAACAAGTGACATTAAGGTGAGCGAGTTACAAAAAGAAATTGATGGTCTTAAAATGATTTCGGGTGCTCAACAATTGCGTATTCAAGAATTGGAAAAAAATCAACGGGACATGCAGGAACGACTGCGTGCTCAGGAAAGATATTCAAGAAAAGATAGTATTATAATATTGAATCCTCCGTACGATGCGCGCAATGTGAGAGACGTAACAATGGAAACACTAAAATTTTTGGGTATAACAATTAAGTATGAAGGTGTGAAAGCTTGCCATGTCCTGCCTGGTGATACAGGTATTTTCCTTCCCAGCGTGATATGCAAATTCATTTACTTCGAGGACAAAACGCAGGTCTGGAAAAATAGAAGGGCTCTAAGAAAAAAGGTCAACCCAATAAACCAAAAGTTTATTATTTTAAATGAAACATTGCCTAAAGCTGATGCAGAAATCAAAGCAACTGCTGTACGAATGGGGTTGGAGACGGTGACCAATAATTGCATTGTATCAGTTGCAGTTACTGGTGAAAATGGATCGAAAAAGTATATGAAAGTCAATAGTTTGGATGATCTTAATAAATTGGAACCAAATGCGATCAAAAGAAAATTTGTTGGGGTTAACAAAAGCAGCAGAGATGCAAGCGATAGAGTCACACCGGAGGGCAAAAAACCATATATGAGCAACAAACAGACTCATAAACTCTAATCAGTTACACGATTTGAAACTTTTTGTTGAGTATTTCATACTTTGTGTTATGATAAAAAGAACGATAAAATGAGTTGATACTAAAACGCCGTGCAACTCTGAACTAACTTAACTTGTTAACTAGCTTATATTAATTATACTATTGCTTTTATTTTTTTTTCCTTTGAACTAAAGAAGTGACTTTTCGGATTTTTTTCCCCACTTTTTACAATTTGGATTGAAAATTCAATTAAGTCAAATAATGTCACAAACAAATTAACCCAAACTTTTTGTTTGTTTCATATTGTTTGTCATAATCAATTTCTGATTAAAATCAGACTGTCAGTTCCATTCGCCCTGCTTGTGATAACGCGAGCGCTCCAGGTTGGTTGTGATAACGCGACCTCTAAGCCTGGAAAGGGGCTTATGGACTGGTTACGCGAGTGAACTTTGGTGTGCTCTGTGATAACGCGGAGTTGACACTAAATGAAAATTTTTATTTTTTATCTGGAAATTAAAATTTACCTAAATTTCAATCTTATTATGATAATTAATTTTTTTGTAATACTTGGATGTAAATGAGGAAACTTCAGGTCTCTACAGTAAAGAAGTTAAATTGAAAATGGCAAAACAAAAATTTTTTTGTTTCTAAAACAGCAAATTTGAGGTTATTGCTTACATACAAGAACAACGTATGAAACATAGGGAGGTAGAAGGGAAAAATTTTCAGGCCAACAGAGGGAGTTCGCGATTTTTTCACCATCAATTGTTTTTTTTCCTATCTCAGATCAACAAAGACACAAAAGGCAGTATATCATGAATACCACTGAGCAGATTCTTTTGCAAAATGTAGAAACATAGACGAGTTTCAAGTTAGCCTAACTCAACTAAATTATTTGCCTAGCGTTATATGTTGCACCGAAACCTGGCTTTCACCAAACCAGAATTTCAATGTTTTCAAAATAAAAGAATATCAACCTCTCATTGAAAGTTCTCGTAAGCGTAGAGGAGGAGGCGTATGCCTATATATAAAATGTGGAATAAATTATGAAATAATAAAAAGAACAAGTTGTAACAACATTCAATTATTAAGCGTCAAAATTACAAATGAAAAACTAAAAAATACAATTATTACGTGTGTTTATATTCCTCCTAGCGCGGTAAAAACTCAGACACTCCTTATACTGCAAAAGGTTTTGGATGATATTATAGTGGCACCATCTACACATCAGTTACTTTGTGGTGACTTCAACATTAATGTTTTAAGAAAGAGTAAACGACTCTCTGAACTTATAAGTATATTAAATGGAAACGATCTTTTCCTACAAAATGGAAATCAAGCAACCAGAGAAACTAAGACCAGCAAGACGTGTATAGATCTGTTTTTTTTCCAATGTAAAAAATAACAGTAACCATCTTTAAAACATCGGTAACTGATCATTATGGAGTAATTTTAAACACTACATCACAAACATGCAAAAAGGAACCTTTTATTACCAAAACCCGACCATGGTACAAACTTGAATCGGAATCTTTTCTGAAAGAACTAAATGAGTCTTTATATGAAAATTTATTAGAGGTTGAAACAAAAGTTAGCCAATTTAATTGCGATGAGCTTTTTTATTGTTGAATGAAAAGCTCAGAAATAACATTGAATCTTTTTTACCAGAAAAAACATCAAATAGAAAATCTTCGAAGCACTGGGTTGATAATGAATTGAAAAATGCAGCATCGAAAAAACACCGGTTTAGGAAACTTTTTTAAAAACTGGAACCACTGAAGCCAGAAGTAAATTTGAATCTCAAAGCAAATTAGTTCGCAAACTGCTGAGTCAGAAAAAAAAGCATTTTATCAAAACAAATTACGATTGGAATCCAACAACAACAGTAGAGAATTTTTCCGTCTGTATAATGACCTAACATGTGCTACCAAGAACAACGATCAGGAAGAAAAAACCATAAATGTTGATGAATTTAACGACTTCTTTGCAAATATTGGGAAAAAATTGGCGAGGAATTTTAAAACTTTCAAAGAATTAAGAGTCAGAAAGCAAATAAACTCAATGTTTTTAGCTGATATAACCCCAAGTGAAATTTCAAATATATTCGAATCGCTAAAAACCAAGTTTAGTTTGGATACATATGGACTTAATCACTATTACTTGAAAAAAATTTGTCCAGTTCTGCTTCCAGTTCTGACAAAACTTTTCCAAAAATGTTTGGATAGACAAGTCTTTCCAGACAGTTTCAAAATTGCCAAAGTTAAACCTCTCTTTAAAGAAGGCAATGATCTAGACCCATCAAATTACAGGCCAATTTCTCTTTAACCAGTTGTAGGTAAAATTTTTGAGCGGGTCATTTATAACAGAATGAACCAATATCTCACTAAGTATCAAATACTACAAAATTGCCAGTTTGGGTTCAGATCAAAAAGGAGTACAATTGATGCTTTGATAACCCTAATAGAAGTGCGTCAAGATTGGGACTCTAATAACACGAAGACACAGTGCACATTCATTGACCTTAAGAAAGCCTTTGATACAGTTGACCACACTCTTTTACTTGAGAAATGTGACGCATATGGTTTTCGGGGACCTGTTTTTGATCTTCTAAAATCTTATTTAAAAAACCGACAACAACACGTTGCCACTAAAACCAAACGCTCTCAAAATAAAAATGTGAATTATGGAGTACCACAGGGATCCATACTAGGCCCGCTTCTTTTCATCATTTATATAAATTATATTGAGCTAAATGAAAATAGTGAAAGTAATCTGATTCTATATGCAGACGACACTGTCATTAAAACAACAGCTAAAAACAGTGACTTAACCGGTAAACATCAAGAAGCGTTGGACAAAACAGCAAGTTGGCTAGAAAAAAACAGCTAAATTTAAATGAAGATAAAACAAAAACAATGATACTATCTAAGCAGAGGAGTGATAAATCAGATGTCAAAATGAATGGAATAGTTATTGAAGAAAAACAATCGTTCCGATACTTAGGTGTTCAAATTGACTCTAAACGTTCCTTTATTGATCATATTACAAAAATTGAAAACAAATTGTCAATGTTTTGTGGGATGTATTACAGGTTGAGGAAAGTTTTAGGTAAAGATCAACTATTGAAAGCATATAACGCTTATGTGAAACCCATTTTACAATACGGGGTTTTGGCTTACGCGTCAACAGACCAAACGAAGTTAGAAACAATTGAACTTGAAATTAAACGGCTTCTAAAAATTATTTTTTTTAAGAGAAGAAACGAAAGCATCGAAGAACTGAGACAAAAACGCAAAATATACTTCGTAAAGGAATTACATATCTATGAATTATTAAAGTTACTATGTAAGGTTTTGAGAAAAGAGTGCATATCGACCATTGTACAGGAAGCTGTAACTGAGAAAAATTTGAATACAATTTTGAATAAGAGAGTTTTAGCTAGGCAGATACCTGTGCAATCAAAAGGTAATCAAAAAACTTCTGTAAACGTTAGAATTAGAAAACTTTTCAACTTTGTTCTAAAATACTACCCAGATTTTGTAACTAAGATTCAGAGCTGCACACAATATCAATTACAAATCTTCAACCATTTTTTCCCTCTTCAAATCATTAAATTTTACTTCGGTTCCTTGATTAACTGTCGATATTTAAAAATAACAGAAGTCATAGCAGAATCAGAGGCGCCTGAAAACGGGCTGCATAGTTCCACGGCGTTCTCGCAATGAGATTTCGTTTAGTTGTAAATGTAGTAACTTTTACAGTGAATGGAATCTAATTTGCAAACAATTTATTATTATTATTATATTATTATATATTGGCGACTTAAGGAAAAAACTTAATGGTTGGTGGGTCCAAAATGGATTTCCTGAAATAATACAAAAAGGGAGGACCCTGTGGTTGTTGACGTAGTGGAATCCCTAAGAAAAAAGCGTTACATCCCCCCCTCCCCACCAAAAAAAATCCGCCCTGGCTTAGAGGTAATGTGGTCTCCTTGGCACCCTAAAATCTGGGGTTCTAGGCATCATGGGTTTGAAATTGGATTTTTTCGGTAAGATTCGAATCGTCGGACCTTCGTTTGTCCACTCAAGTTTTGTCGGCTTAATTGTCACATCAGGAACATTTCTTGCTGTAAACAATTTTCTTTTTAGTTGCAAGTGTTGTTCATTGTAGTTTCAGGCTACTTGAAACGAAATGAATGAAAAATCATTTTAAAAAATCAATTTTTTCTCGCTTACATTTTTAAAGCAGGAATATTGTTTGTCTGCCTATTTTTTTTAACTGAAACCCGTTAATGAGTGCCCTCATGATTGTGTATAACGTACAAATAGCAAGCGGACTACGCGCAAATTTAAAAAAAGTTTTACTTTTTGCTAGAAAGTAAAAAAGTAAATAAAATATTCATTTTTATTTTAGATAATATAAATAATTCTCTGGCATCGTGTCTATGTCGACAAAAGGCGTTCAGAAAATAATGATTCCTAGTTATAATCCACCTAAATGTAGGGTTTACCTTTTCAATGAGGTCGAAATCAGCTCCATGCTCTGAAGTCGGCAACATAATTGAACTTAGTTGTAACTTATTTTATTTTTTGTGTCTAGGACAAATTACAGAGTGAGCGTGAGGCTGTGTGTGATGGGATGCTGAATGACACTGCCACCTCCCTCGATAACCTCACTCGCGTCAGGCTCAAAAGTAAGTCATTCTACATGCCCTCCCCCAACAGAACTGATGAATAGTTCAAAAGTTCAAAACACTTAACTTATTTGAAGAAACCCATTTTTAAAAGAATCCATTTTTAAAAGCATGCTTTGAAGTCATCTGAATAAAATCGCGCAAGCAGTCATTTAATTGATTTGATCGAGTTTTGGTGGTTAGCAGTCGGATTTTTGATTCTCGCACAAATATTTTTCTCAAAAACGATTCTCGCATAAACGTTTTTTGCAAAAACTGAAGGATTTTTTTTTCAATCGAGTTTGTGTCAATTTTGCGTGGTCATACTGTGCGTCGTCCAAATCCGGTCTGGGTTTTTGATAGTTATTTTCCTCTTGCGAGGGCATTTGTTTTGTAATCGGCAACTAGATTTTTTTTCCGTAAACAACTTTTTGTACAAATCTAAGAAATACGTACACTTATTTTTACGTGCAGGATGCTGATATGCTCAATTTCTTGAAAATTCAAAAAATATATATTTTAAAAATAAATGTATCGAAACTCGGATTTGAAAAATGTTCAAAAATTTCAGCTAACTTCATCGGGTTTCAGGCTTGTTTCTTACTTGCACAAGCTGACTCGCGATTTATTTTGTCTAGTTTTATTGGCGTAAAGCTTAAGAGCCAGCGCTAAGTTTTAATCGATGCTGGTGATATGCATACATGCTATCAAGCAATGATATTAATACAATAAAAACTTGACTGAATGTTTTAAAAGTGGACTTCAACTGTTAGATATTCCTCCGGAGTAATAAATATAGCTATTGATCTGTTGTCTCAAATCGGGTTAATTATCAAAAAAGTATGTTGTTATATATAGTATAATAATGTTTTTGTGTTTAGCGAGGAGGACTCTGAATGGACATGCTGCAGCCATCTATACCATGTGTTGGCGTCCAGAGTCCCACGAGATGGTGAGTGGCAGCCAGGATGGCAAACTGCTCATCTGGGACACCCACACCAACAACAAGATCAACATCATCACCCTCAAGTGCCCTTGGGTGATGAGCAGGTAAAATCAGCTGCAAAAACTTCCAACAGACGGAAATAAATAGAAAGCGCAGTCTGCCAGCTTCGAGCGTTTTTTAGCATGCAAATTTGAAGTTTTGGATGACTTTGAAACATTTTTTGTCTGAAGCATTAACTTGCATGTAAAATTGTCTGAAATAGGTCATTTGATGTTTATAAATAGTTTTGTCTGTCCATATTTTTTGCTGCTCATTAAATGTCCACGCTTTGGACACAGCTCTAAGATATCTTTTTTGTTGTTAATGGCTATCAAAATCAATTTAATTGGCCTTGATCTTAATCCGTAGAAATTTGTATTGTATTTTAGTTTTTTGAAACTGTTTTTACACGCTCTGAAAAAGGTGAAAAGTAAGTTTCCGATGTCAAAAATTGTTAAAACATCGTTGCCATCAATTTGGCATTGAGTTGAAAAAAAACTTGACCAGAAGATTAAATAATGGCTTTTGAAATAGAAAATGCTAAATATAGAAGCAACAGTATAAATGCAACAGAAGCTGCAAAATAGTCACGAATAGTATAGCAAAAAATGGCAGGAACTTTGCCAGCCAAAGTTTACTATTTTTACAGTTATTTCTCGAATTTTGTTAAACTATTTTACCGATAATGGCGTCGCTGAATATATTGTTTCGTTAAATCTGATCAATATTCTATCATTCATTTTTAACTACTCTGCTTTTTAGTGGCTTTGCTCCTTCGGGTAACTTCGTGGCCAGCGGGGGTCATGACAATGCAGTGTCCATTTATGGTCTCAAGGGCGAAATGCTACCCGAGAAGCCAATCGCACAGCTCACAGACCACAACGGTTAGTGTTTTGACAGTGTTTCAGAATTATGATTAGCAATTTAGTTTCATCAAGTCGAGTATTCAACTTCTTTTTTTTTTGCTGTAAATAAGTTATTTAACTAGATCACCTTGGCTAGGAAAAAGTTAGCAAAAAGTTAAGACTTGTCACCTGCAAACGTTCCTTCTTTGCCCGATATAGGTGTATCGTTGCGGTCTTAATACTCGCAGGAATTTTTGAAAAGTGTAAAAAGGGCTTGAACAGCAAAATCATTTTTTACACATGCGGAGAGTAGTGTAATTATACGAAGCAATTTTTTTCCAATCTTAGTCCTAGATAAAAGTGCTCATCTGGTATTTTTCTAATCAAAGGCAAATCTGTTAGATAAAAACAGGTACTATGAAAATGTTTGAGTTTTTTTGGTTTTTAGACGCTTTGGAACAAATTTTCACTTTTCTTAAAATTTTAGTTTTTCTAAAACTAAATTTCCGATTTTCAAAAACATGGTACAAATGGAAATTCCGCCCTTTTCCTTGTGTGCTTGAATAACCTTCTAATCTCTTTCTACCTTACCCCACTTTCTACAGCCTTCCAAAAAAGCTGTGAGTGAATATTTGGCCAGAATTTTGGATTTTTTTTTCAAAACCCTTCGCCCAAAGTGAGATTTTGGATCCAACGGATAGACCGGGTTGTGGGAGTTGTGGGCGTTTTTGCCTGTTTTCTAAAATTTTTGATTTTACTGGAAAACTGCCGTTCCAAATCTGAGATTTTGAGTTCAATCGAAAGAACAGTTTAGGTGAAGGCTATCCAATTTCTTTTCACAAAAGTAATGTTCTCGGAAAAGTCAAATATTTGATATCTTGGCCGGTTTTTGAAACTTTTGACTTTTCGAAAACTATCCTCCCAAATCTGCGATTTTGAGTTCAATCGAAAAAACGGGATAGGCGAAGCTCCCCTGCATAAGCGGCTACGGCAAATATTTCTTCAAAAATTAATAGTCCTCGGAAAAAACATGTTTGATTTCTTGGCCGTTTTTTGAAACTTTTTGACTTTTCTACATAACTAAACCCCCCCAATCGAGAGAATAGTTTGTAGATACCTACCTCCAGCGTTAGGTAGGCCCCTTGTTTACAAACAATGCTTGTGTTATAGTACGAACTATCTTTCCAACGTAAGTCGCAAATATTGTTGCGACACAAATATTGTTGCGATAAAATGTGTTAATTTGGGTCAAAAACCAGCTGTTTAGTACAGCCAATGTTAAGGATTTTATCACAGACTGTTTTTGTTCCAACTTTCGTAAGGAAAGTAACGGAATATTTGTGCTCGGGGTGGTTTTTTTCTTCAGACAAATTTCGACTTTTTAAATAGCCATTTTTGACGAGATTTTTTTAATATCATTCAAAAAGTATTGTTGTCCTGGTCTTGAATTTGGAAAGATATTTTACCTGTGATCGTTTTTTGTAAAATTATGGGGGTTCAAAAAATTGCCATTTTGGGACAATTAACGAGCGATATATTTCGCGCTATTAACGCGTAAGCTGAGATTTAATCCGTTACAGAAATTGTTCTAAATTGGTTGAAGGAAGCTTATTTGCCATAATTAGTTTGTTCCAAGGAGCAAAACTTATCACTTTGTACGTAACATGGCGTATGGGGGGATGATTTTCACAAAAATTTCAATTAAAAAGAAAATTGATTTTATTTTTGTTACATTTAATTTTCTTTTTTACTGCTCCATAGACTGCTCTATAAATTGAGGCATGTGAGTTGGTATTTTTTCTTTTAAATTGAATGGTGCTGCTAATTCTTCATAATTGCCGTGCGTCACTTAAGAAATTTTGTAGAGTCAAAATTTTACTAATTCAGTTTTTCACAGTAGCGTTATTGGTCATATTTTTCCTTGTGTCTATGCGAATTGCAACTTCGCCTCTGTGTTAATAGCATCTGTTGCCGTTTTATTTACTAGTGGCCCTTGAGATAAGCAAGGGATTGTTTTCGGGTACTAGACTTTTTTTCGCGTATTTAACTTTACCATTTGAGCATTCTCGGAACGAAAGTGCATGGTTGCTTAATAACGAGGTAATTGTATTTAACTGCTTGCAGTTACCACAAGGCATTTAGTTGTGTTACGTTAAGAGTTGCAATTGATTTTTGTAGGATTCGAAATTTTTTGGTTTATTTTTGGCAGTGAGATCGGTCGGCTTCAATTCTGCCGGCTTATTTTCCTAATGTTTTCGTTCTACTAATTTTTGTTGGTAGCATAACAATTGAACTCTACCGAAAAATTTTTGAACTTAAATGTGAATTTTTTTTGCATGTCTGAATCACACACTTAAGCCCTCTGTAATAGTTTTAAAAATTAAACCTGACAAACACAATTTTTTTTGAAGTTTTTGAATTTCAATTTTCAATTTTCCGTTTATTTGTTTTTGGTCGAAACATTCGTATTTTTGGTTACGCGACCTGCTGCATTTTTTATGTTTGCACCTAACAAGCTTTAAAATTAAGAGTAAATAGTTTATCAAGTTTGGGATACCGAGATCGGTCGGCTTCAATACTTTCGGCTAATTTTCCCTAATCTTTTTTCAAATTTTTATCAGGTCGTTTTTGATATTGAGTCAACTTTATCAATGTGCGTTTGAAATTTTAAAATATTACTTCGACCTTCTCTTATGAAAAGTTAAAAATCATGAAAAGTTTTTCATTTTCATTTTTTCGAATTCGTGTGAAGTTTGTCCGAGTTTTTTTCTTTTTAATAAAGACTTATTCAAATCTTTTCGCCAATAATTCTTGAGCGCATGCTGTTTTCGTCTTATTCTTTCTTGTGAAGTTAATCGAAGAAATGAGTTTCTTGCATTTTCTTGGCATAATTTTCAAAGGTTTTTTCGTCACTTAAATTTTTTTTGCTTCAAATGCTTTCTAGCCTGTATATTTTTTGTAGAACGATATCTTCTACAGTTAAGAGACTCTGATTTGGGAGGCATTAAGTGCTATCATATCTCAATCAACCTTCAATTTTTTTTTCACTCTTAATTTACAGATATATATATATTTTTTAAAATAGTTCATTTTGGCTATTTGTTTCTTGCACACTTGATATTTTCCTAATTTAGGTTATTTTCGCTATTTGTTTCCTCTGCATACAATTGAATTGAGGACTTTCATTTTTATTCTTATCATAACTTTCGGATAGCGAAAAAAAATTGAAATAGACGACAGTATTTTCGCCAGCATTTTTCTTCTGGATGATGGATTTTTTTTTCGTCTTAGTTTTCGTCCTAAATCCTTGTGATCTATGAATGTAAAGGTTGCTAGCTGATTCAAATTAATGGCACATCGGTGTTCTAGGGCTCATCTTTGAAGAGATTTATTTGAGTTGCAACAGGTCCTGACTATTACATTGTTCAGAATAATTTTTTCACATTTGTTTCTAGCTGCGTGATTCTTGCATCAATTTGTAACGGCTTTGTTCAAAATTTTGTTGTGCCCATAAAGTGTTCAATCTCAACATGTTTAAAACGCTTTTCGGTTTCACTTGTGTTATCAAACCGAGTGAGTTTTTTTTGCCAATTTTTGCATGTTTTTTTGTCGGCTTAGCTGGCGATTTTTTCCATTTGTTCTGTCATTCTTAGCGCGTATCTTCTCAATGAATTTTTTATTGTGTTGCAAATTAAAGTTTTATCATCGATAACATTAGGTCAAACTTTTTTGTCGTCATTTTTTGTTCAAACATCAATCTTGATTTGTGTGATGTTCATCGGTTTTTGATTTAAGTTATAGGAAACTATTTTCTATCCTTCTGGTCAATCTGTCGTCGCAAAGTTTTTTTTTTTGGTTAACAACTAGTTAAACAAACTCAGTTGAATCAGTAAACACAGCTCTTCTGATGGCAACATAACAGAATGTCTTTCAGCAGATATTTTTTGAGCTTGTTTGCATTTTAAAGGGACGTTTCAGTCAAGTTTTATTGTTGGTTTTGAATCAACGAGTGTTGGTTTTAAATCAACTCTTGTTTTTAGTTTTCTTTTTGCCTAATATGTTTGAATTTTTTAAGTTTAAATGGTTTCGGCTGATACATATATGTTTAGTTGCCTCATTGTTTGTCGATTGAAGGACTTAAGCTTTTAAATTTCATTTGTGCTTACGAAAGAGTAGGGGGAGCGTAAATCTTTTTTGGTTCAAAATTTTTATAAAACTATTAAATTTTCGGCTCAAAAGTCGTCAACCCAACGACAGTTTTGGCGGCGTAAGGATTTTTTTCGGCTCAACATGTTTTATAGCTTAATTTTTTTTCGGCTCAACAGTCGTCAACCCAAGTTTCGTCTGCTCAGTATTGATTTAATGATTTTTATAATTGCTTATCTTAGACTGGTTATTGCGATTCTCAGTGTTTTCATTAAATGTACCCGCATTACAGACAAGCGTTAAAAAATCAATTAGTTTTTTCGAATTAGGATTGCGTACTATTTTTTGGACCAGCTGCCGTGCCTTTTTGTTGTTGAATTGCTGCGCTTTGTCTCTTTATATAATTTTTAAATGACATATCCGATTTTTTTATCCGATTTTTTTTCAGAGAATCTTGTACTTCATTGTTTTAGCTGAAACAAAGTGCAATTAGTTCCCAAGAGTTTTTTTCCACACTGGTGTTCTTATTCGAAGAGAGAATTTTTTAGAATATAAAAAATACTTTAGTAGAAGTGGCTAAGTTTTTTAAATTGTAAAAAGATCGAAAAGGTTGTCTTTTTGGGTATAAGTCATGACTTTTTATACAGGAAAAAGTAAAGTTAGTTCACGCTCAAATTGATTTTTTGCGATTTGACTTCTGATTTTTTTCAAGTTTTCTTCAATTCCTTTGTTTAGAGGAAGGCAATTTCCCTTATCTGGCTGCAAACGTTTCAAGAAAAAACGTGGTTGACTTCTAGTTTAAAAATTGGCTTGGTATGTTTTCTTCGAAAAACGAAAGCTGAAAAATGTTCCAAAAATTTCCAACATTTTTTCTCTTGCTTCCTTGTTCTTAC